GAAACCTGCAGTCAGCTGAGACTGAAGAAGTCACTTGGATGAGTGACGAAACGTTTCTCCCAGAAAACGCTACGTCCAGACGAACAGAATCAACTTTTGGAGAGCAATACTGCATGGTTTTGTGTCCTTCAACCATCATGAAACCCATGCCATGGAGCTCCTGGTGCATTGGTTGTGTGGTGATGTCAATGTCAAAGAAGGGTTGAAACTGTGCAGTTAGACCAGGGGTGGGCAATTCCAGTCCACGAGGGCCAGTGTCCCTGCAGGTTTTAGATCTCACCTTGGGTCAACACACCTGAATCACATGATTAGTTCGTTACCAGGCCTCTGGAGAACTTCAGGACATGTTGAGGAGCTAATTTAGCCATTTAAATCAGCTGTGTTGGTTCAAGGACACATCTAAAACCTGCAGGGACACCGGCCCTCGAGGCCTGGAGTTGCCCACCCCTGAGTTAGACAGTCAACAGGTGCTTTATCTATCACACAGTGTGCCATTCCATTGGTGATCCTGCTCTGTAACTTCCACTTTGCCACAATACTACTTACAGCCAATTGTGGAAAATCTACAAGAAGAAAATTCATGAACTGAGTAGTTGCAAAGGCACGGTCCCATTACAGTACCATGCTCAAATTCAGAGAGCTGTTTAGGATGACCTATTCCAGGGGTGGCAAACTCCAGGCCTCGAGAGCCGGTGTCCTGCATGTTTTAGATTTGTCCTTGATCCATCACAGCTGATTTAAATTTCTAAATTACCTCCCCAACATGTCTTGAAGTTCTCCAGAGGCCTGGTAATGAACTAATCATTTGATTCAGGTGTGTTGACCCAGGGTGTTATCTAAAACCTGCAGGACATTGGCTCTCGAGGCCTGGAGTTTGCCACCCCTGACCTCTTCATTCACAAATATTTGCAGATACAGTCTGCTTGTCTAGGTGCTTTCTTTTATAAATCTGGATTACGAGGTATAGCCCAACAGTTCTCACTTGACATTATGACAGTATAAACCTGGTTTAAGGGGTAAAGGGCTCAGAAAGATTTCTTGGAATTGCATGTTACAGTCAGGTCCATAAATATTGGGACATCGACACGTCTGTGAAGGTTCTCAGTCATCCAGGTCATCGTAGTCAAAGGAGCTTGCAAAGAAAAGCGTCTGGACTTCTTTAAGTTACTTGAAGACGTTTCACCTCTCATCCGAGAAGCTTCTTCTTCCTTAGACCTTAGAACTGAAGAAGCTTCTCGGATGAGAGGTGAAACGTCTTCAAGTAACTTAAAGAAGTCCAGACGCTTTTCTTTGCAAGCTCCTTTGACATCGACACAATTCTAACATTTTTGGCTTTATACACCACCACAATGGATTCCAAATGAACCGAACAAGATGTGCTTTAACTGTAGACTGTCAGCTTTTATTTGAGGGTATTTACATCCAAATCAGGTGAACGGGGTAGAAATTACAACAGTTTGCATATGTGCTTCCCACTTGTTAAGGGACCAAAAGTAATGGGACAGAATAAGAACCATAAATCAAACTTTCACTTTTTAATACTTGGTTGCAAATCCTTTGCAGGCAATTACAGCCTGAAGTCTGGAACACATGGACATCACCAGACGCTGGGTTTCATCCCCGGTGATGCTCGGCCAGGCCTCTACTGCAACTGTCTTCAGTTCCTGCTTGTTCTTGGGGCATTTTCCCTTCAGTTTTGTCTTCAGCAAGTGAAATGCATGCTCAATCAGATTCAGGTCAGGTGACTTGGCCATTGCAAAACAGTCCACTTCTTTCCCTCCAAAAACTCTGGTTGCTTTTGCAGTATGCTTTGGGTCATTGTCCATCTGCACTGTGAAGCGCCGTCCAATGAGTTTTGAAGCATTTGGCTGAATGTGAGCAGATAATACTGCCCGAAACACTTCAGAATTCATCGTGCTGCTTTTGTCAGCAGTCACATCATCAATAAATACAAGAGAACCAGTTCCACTGGTAGCCATACATGCCCACGCCATGACGCTTTCACCACAATGCTTCACTGATGAGATGGCATGCTTAGGATCATGAGCAGTTCCTTCCTTCTCCATACTCTTCTCTTCCCATCACTCTGGTACAAGTTGATCTTGGCCTCATCGGTCCATAGGATGTTGTTCCAGAACTGTGAAGGCTTTTTTAGATGTCGTTTGGCAAACTCTAATCTGGCCTTCCTGTTTTGGAAGGCCAGATTAGAGTTTACATCTCGTGGTGAACCTTCTGTATTCACACTGGTGAAGTCTTCTCTTGATTGTTGACTTTGACACACATACACCTACCTTCTGGAGTGTTCTTGATCTGGCCAACTGTTGTGAAGGGTGTTCTCTTCACCAGGGAAAGGATTCTTCGGTCATCCACCACAGTTGTTTTCCGTGGTCTTCTGGGTCTTTTGGTGTTGCTGAGCTCACTGGTGCGTTCCAAACAGTTGTTTTGGCCACGCCTAATGTTTTTGCTGGGTTTTTTTTAGCCGAATGATGGCTTGCTTCACTGATAGTGACAGCTCTTTGGATCTCATGTGGTGGTTGACAGCAACATGGAACAGTTGAGAAGCCAATTGTCCCATTACTTTTGGTCCCTTAACAAGTGGGAAGCACATATGCAAACTGTTGTAATTCCTACACTGTTCACCTGATTTGGATGTAAATACCCTCAAACAAAAGCTGACAGTCTACAGTTAAAGCACATCTTGTTCGCTTCTTTTGGAATCCATTGTGGTGGTGTATAGAGCCAAAAATGTTAGAATTGTGTCGATGTCCCAATATTTATGGACCTGACTGTATATTGGTTTGTATGTTCATTATCCTGGTGTCTTTGAAAGCTTGGCCAATAAGGGAAATTTTGATTGGCCAACAGAGTTTTTAGCCATGACAGTAGATGATTCCTAAAATATGGTTGTTACTGCAGAGAGGCAAAAAACTTTAAAAAATGCAAGGTGGGTAGACCTACCAGGCAGGACAGAAGACTGCAAAGCGCTTTTGCAGGATACCACCTCTAGGTTCAGATGTCACAGTCAGCTTTAGTAAATCAGTACAACAAACCACGACACAAAGCATGTTTTCATAGATTTTTTTTCTCGACTTTTATATTTTTAAAAACGAACCAAAAATAACAGATTAAATAAAATTTACAGTAGACATATGCAATCATTGTGCACTTTTACTACTTCTTCTGATACGTTCTGCACAGCTGTCAACGAAAAAAACGCAAACACAACAGGGCGTCTGGGGGGGTGGAGCTGGGGCATGTGGGGCGGCTGTGGGAGAGAGGAGAGGGGCAGAAGAAGTGAGGTAGAGGGCAGTAAGGAAAAAAAAAGATGGGAAGAGGAGCGGGGATGAAGAGGGAAGGAGTAAAGGGATAAATAGGAAGGCCTAACCTTTGTCACTCAGGGGGGGAGGGAAGAAAAAAAAAATTCACCGAATATATAGATTTCTTTTATTCCTTACATCACTTATATAAATATATTGAACCCCAAAAAACAAACAAAGAAAAACTTCTGAGAAAAAAAGAAAAAAAGAAAACAGCGCAATACAGAAACCCACAACAGCAGTAAGGCAAACAAAGCAAGAGAGGAGAGAGAGAGCAGTGACAGAATACATGAGAGGGACAGAGGAGCAGAGAAAGATAGGAGGCAGTTTGAGACATGGCAAGAGGGGGGAGCAGCAGGAGAAAGCGGAGAGTACGCAACTGTGCCGTATGAAAATTTATAAATATGTGAGATAAAGAGACGACTGTGTGACAGAAAGTCGAGGAAGGTGAGAAAGCGCTGGCAGAAAAAAAGGAGGAAGGGTCAAAGGGGGGGAGGGAGGAAGAGGAGGAAAAGGTTTGACTGAGGTCGACTGTCCAGTGTGTTTTTGTTATGTGCTACGTGACCCTGTTGCCTGCACTTGTGTTTCTGTTATGTGTGTTTTTGTATCATGGCAGCACACATTCCACGGCAACAGTGAAACACATGCTCGCGTGTCTTGTGTGCTCTTCTGCGATATAAATACAAAACAAAAACAATGAATAAAAACAAACAACAAAATCATATTTGCAACCAAACACCAGCCACCTCATGATTCACACCCTCTTCCCTTTTATACATTTGACACATGATTTAAATCAAGTTTTTTTTTTTTTTTTAAATTGTACACTAAGAGCAGTCCCCCTCAGTCCTCCTCCCTTTTCCACCACTCCAATAAGTGTCTCTCTTTCTGTCTGTCTTTCCCCTTCGTTCCTCCCCCTCTCTTTTCCTCTCACTGAGAACTGGCTCTCTCCAGCACGCGCAGGTCATAGTTCTTTTTGGCGGCCCTCAGTTTGAAGAGGCTGGCCCCACTGTTGTTAAGTTTGAAGGAAGCACTCTGGGCAGCCATGGTGTTGGGGAACACTGCCACTACTGTGTAGAGGTGAGCTGGGTCGTTTCCGTCGCCCTTCGCTCCCCCAGCTCCCATGCTAGCTCCGGGGCCTGCTGTTGCTCCTGGCCCTGAAGGCCCAGCACCAGGACAGGGGCCGCAGCCCCCTGCTCCTCCTCGGCCTCCTTGGGGCTCCTTCAGCCACTGGATCTTGGCACCGCACAGCGACAGCTGGTTGAAGAGCTTTTCAGCCTCTGGACGTGTGATCCCCTCCGGCAGGTCTGTCACCTCGAGTACTCGACTCACCACTGAACGAGGGGGGACAATGATAATACTAATGAACTCCATATAATGTGAGCAAACCAAAAAGAAAAAAAACCACAGGAATATAGGCTACCAAAAATAATAAAGTCACACATACACAGTCTTTGCTTTCACCTAAGCAACAAGCTTTTATAATCCTCACGTCCTCAGACATGAAAAGAAGATACGCAACCCTTTCTCATGCGTGTCTTATACGTGCCACAAATTCTTGGGTTTCATAAAGATAAAGACGAATAAAGGAGTCTGTAAACTGCAGATTCCAGTCGAGTTAGGAAGCTGTGTTGTTACAAAAACAACATACCGAGTGTTGAAACTCAGGGTTCTTTTAAGTTGTGTAACTCTTTAAAAACATTCCAGCACAAAATTAAAGGACACTTGCTGATTTATGCTGGTCTGTGATGGTGGATTTCTAACTTACCTACATCAGTGGTACCAAGATCTGTCGATGCAGATTTGAGTGTTTGTTTTTTCCCTCGTGCTCCGTGTTTCATTACTCCTTGGCCCTGAACACATCAGATAACACTCATAAAGATGCAGTAACAAAGGAGGACACTAGGTGGGGGTATGTGATATCAGTTGTACCCTTAAAAACATTTCACCAGACTGCACAGTTCGTGGGCACTGGAAGGTCAGCAGCAGAGAAACAAAATGACAGCTCACGGATTTCAAATTTTTGAAACATTGCGCTTTAGCTACACAACGTGCTCTAAAAAGAGCTTTAATCCTTCAAAGTCCACATTTTATGACTGTAACGCACAAAAGTTGAGTGATTCTCAATTCTGGAGCACTTTAATCACAGAGCCCAGACAGATAATCAATGGGTCTCAATCAGCAATGAATTCAAATCAAATGTTAGGTTGCTGAATATTAAGAATAACAAAAGAACAGCTTCTGCTTGTGTTATAGTAACAAAAATGTCATTCTTAAGAGGCTATCAGTTTCTTCACATGCAGATTTATTGTTTCTTCAAAAACAGTTCTGTAGCTGGTGGTAAGTTTCTACACCCCAGAAGTCATGACAGCACCCAAACGAAAAACAAATGTCCACAAAGTAAAGCAACACGTTTAAACCAGAGAAACTGATTAATGCACACTGACAAACTAAAAGGCTCTTACTAGAAAACATCAATATCAGTCGATACCCTAATCATTAAGATGGAATTCAGGACAAAGGCTTGTCAATACTAACCTGATGAGAGCTGTAGGAGGACTGACCGTGCATGAGGTGTGGGGGACACAGACTATACTGGAGGGGCTGCCCCAAAAGAGAGTAGCGACCATCACCTGCACAATTCAAATGGTGAATTAAAATTAAAACCTCACCCGAAGCTTGAAAACCGTGCTGTAATCCATTTTGCAAATATATGCAGCACCTGTCAAGTTAAAGTGAGTAATATTAAACATATCAGAAGTATGTACTAAATGCAGCGTTTAAAGGAAGACCATGTTTGTGTGTCTGGGAGTGCACTGCACAATAAAAGAGGTCCGATGACATCATTTCAAAACTAATTACAAGAGACAGAAACCACTTCCTATTTGTAACCAGATGAACACAAGTGTAATCTAAATGAATAAGCATTAATGATTTTCACTAGTTTTGAAAACCTAACAGTGTGGCTGGAAAAATCCATGTGGCATAATGTTAGACCACTGGATAAGACAAATGATCCCTTAGAAAGAGAACAACTCCTAATTAAGAAGGAACAGCTCAAGATTGGAAATCCATACAACATACTCTAAATACACTAACACTCAACAGTCAAAATGGATACGTATAATGTATACTGGTAAATTAAATTGGCAAATTACTCCAATAAAGATTTGGAAGAAGTTAAAAGAAAAAAATATGGAAACCACCTAAAGTCATCTATGGGTCAGCTGACTACTACAGTATTTATTATACATTATAAATGCAATAAAGATGCACTGTGGAGATGTAGTATCGCAGACTGATGCAAGAGCCTGTTCGTACGTGTAACCGTACATTTCGAAGAATAAAAATAGGCCAAAGGACAGTGATGAGGTAAACTTATGTGTGTATGCAGAAGGTTTGACCAGGTGGCACGATGCCAGTCATGTGAATTTGCTGAGGTGAAGCCATCATTTGTTCACTGGTTTGCAGCCAAAAGCCACCCGACACGGTTTAGAGGGTTGCTGACGCAACTGGTGAAAGAGCACAAACCTAACAAGGGCTGAAAGCACACCTGCATCAAGAGGATTGTTTTTTGTGCACTAAACCTCTTTTCAACCAACCAAGCTGGGCGAATATAATTTTTATTTATTTATTTATTTGTTTGTTTTAAATCAAAGTTGCACTCATAATATTTTAACCAGGGGGTCCCAAACTTTTGGGGAGCAAGAAAGTATTACAGGAAAGAGCAATTTTGTCAAAGACAACTTACAGAGTAATCGTAATGATTTTGCCCATTTGCTTTTTTTGGTTATAGACTCCACGCTCGCCACCTAAATGGCTAATAAGCAAAGGCACAAATGAACATGAACAGTCTATTACACCCTTGTTGCAGTAGGTGATTTCCTAACAGATTGAGCTGATGTGTCACAATCCTTTTAGAGTTTGTACAGGCTAAAAGATAAGATGTTGGGCAGTACATGATAAGATGTTACAGAGTAAAGGGCGAAATAAGTTTTTCTTTTTTGTAAATTGGCTGTATAGGTGCCATCTTTATAGATAAAGCACAATTTTATGACCTCTTTTTGGGATCCCTTCTGCGGGTCTCCAAACGTCACTGCTATAAATAACTCATCTGGGGGCGAAACCTTAAATGTATAAAACAACATTTCATCAATGCTGCTGTAAATGGTAGCACCAACAAAGCTAACATGGCAAAATATATATACTACTGCTGACTAGTCCAGACGTTTATGGATGTGTAAAGCTGTTGAGAAGACTATGAAAGGGCAACATCGCACACAAATCAAAGCCTTAAGTGTACTTTATGTGGTTGTGAGTCTGGGGGCTATACTGGGATGATATTCAATTGGAGACCTGCAATATTTTTTACATTGTGTATGAAAACTTACTCATGAACAGTCAGTATCTGTTTATGGATTTGAACCTTCACTCGTACCTTGAGCTGGCCCTCCTGGCCGGGGAAACTGGGAAATGAGGGGTAATGGTCCCAGGCCTGGACAGACACTGTTGACGCTGCCAGAAGGTGACGGGGTGGGAGACTGAGTGGGGGAGGCCAGGGGACTCGTCAGCTGAGTACTGGCCTATACACACACAGAGCAAAAATAAGAGACATTATAATATAGTTGGTGGTAATTTAAGCTCAAAATCTTTACTCATTCATCAGATTCAAAGAGCCTCCTGATCTAAACAGCTTTTAAAGCGAATCACAGATCACAGCTAGGGTGTGGAGATGTTAATGAAAAGACAATTAAGTACACACACACACATGCGAGTTGCAGATTGAATTAACAAGGTTTGTTGCATTGATCAACAAGGCTTGCATGCACGCGTGTACCTGTGGAGTGTTGTCAGGTTTGTAGAGCTCGCCTGGCTTGCTTGCCCTTTGCTCTATGCTGTAGTACTTGCAAGGGTTCCACTGGACAAGAGGGGGGTTCTGGGAAGGCTGGGGTCCATTGGGGACACTGAGCTGCATGACCATCACCCCAGGCCCAGGAGGTGGTACTCCTGAGAGAGCACAAACAGTCAGACACGTGTAACATAATAATATCAATATGTGTAGTGAAATACGTTTCATATCTTTTGAAAGATAAATATTTGATTCAGCAAAAAAGGCAGCTTTACACAAGGTAATTAAAATACCAGTTTCCCTTTAAGAGTGACAACTGAGCAATTCCAAGACTTTAAACCACTTTAGTAAGCCACATATATTATATATTAAATTATAGTGCAGACAACTATTAATCTAAGTAATCTGTGTTCATCCATGAGTGAGAGCTGCTTTAAAAACAAATAATGAACAATATAATATTAAGGCGTTTATTATAACATGACAACCATATTAAGAGAACTTATAACCATTAAAAATATAGTTTTATAATTAAGATGTCTTTATATCCGTGTACACCTGCATTAGATCAGCTGTTTGCATACTTTTGATAAACCAAGCTGACTTATTTTTAAATTAATTTTCTCATTATTTTCTCCCCTCTGTTTAAGCAAGAACTTTGAATTTGGTGGTTTTATGAACCACCAAAAGAAAGAGAAGCATGTTTACGGGTTAAAATCAGATAAAATTATTAATTGTCACAAATGAAGCAAAACTGCAGAAAACATTGAAGAACAATGTCACGTTCATAGATACATCTCATTTCCTGACCAATCACATTACTCTATGAATACATAAAAATAAACCTGACCTAATTTGAGGTAAAACATTGTTTGTCCCCGTGTGCAGGGCTTGAAGTACACCGAGTTGCGTGTTAAACATGTGAACCCCGTGTACCTTTGTCTGAACTCTTACCTAAATACCTTTCATCTAATTTTGTAAAGGACAGTTGCAACTAAGATTAGTCAACATAGTGTTTGTAGATTTAAGCACACAATGACTTCATCAGGTCAGCACTAGTATATACTCAAATAGAGATGTACCTGGGACTGCCGCAGTCTAAGACGAAAACAGTTTTCAGACTGTTTTCTTTTTAGGAGCCAACACTTTTATAAAGCATATAAGTCCAGTATTAATTATGGATGTCAATCTTAAAAATATTTATCTTTACAATCTGCTGACATCAAGCCTCACCTGAATATTGCTGCTGCAACTGTGGAGGGTTGCAGGGGGATGGTGACTGTGTTATCTGATACTGCTCAGAGCTGGGGGGCTGCAGGTAACCTACTGATGGACTGCAGGATAGACAGAAAAGACATAAAAAGATGAAGAACATCACCACATTGTGGATGGTTATATTAAACATTTCAAATAGTTCAAGGTTATTATTAAATCTCTTGTTGGAATAACATGTCTTCAAGCACCTACCTTGTGCTATTCTGCTGTGTGGGTGTGATAACACTGTAGTAAACAGGCATGGGCCCCTGGACAGACTGGCTGACTGGGACCATGACCTGCTGCTGGTACTGCTGCTGCACCACCTGCTGATTTTCATTACCCACAGGCACCTAGCAAAGTGTCAAAGATCAAGGGGGAAAAAAAGTCCAGTTCAAGAATGTGTACTGATGGGTCTAGGGGTCTTCTGACAAAGATAATTAGGTAGATACTCGTGTTAAACCCTTGTTACACTTTGCACGACGTTTGTTATTGTTTAAGAAGCACCAGATATTCAGCGCAACTCTTTGCTGCATATTGGTGTGTTTGGAATATCACAGTAGCAACAGATTTTCAGTTGCCTCTGAGCGGCAACCTTATTCAATTCACAATCTAAACCACATAATCAAAACTCCATGTTAGCACATTTTAGTAAAATATCATCGCAACATGGATTATAAATGCAAGCTTTTTGGCTGCCAACACAGGGTCGAGGTGTTCTTCGGTGCCTACCTACAACACAAACTACACTGACAAAAAGCGAGTGCTTTCTGCAGCTGCACCCCTGACTCTAAATAAACCACTGACACAAACCTGAGTTAGATCTGATCAGTTCTTTTAACTCGTATCTGTATCAGTACAGCAGAAAAACAGGTCTACTTTCAAAATACTTGCTTAGATTGTTTTGTTAAGCTTGTTGCAGTTTTAGGACTGTAAGCTCCAAATCTGTTTCACAGACATAAAATGATGTTTCAACTGTACACCAGATGGCGCTGTTTTAACATGGAGCCGCATGTGGTTTAGATGCTGGAAATGCTTAACTTTTGTTCTCGCCTGAAAAAAAACCTGACAGTTCTGTAATCATCAACTAGTCACATTAACCAAAGAAAGATATGACTGTTGACAAGTATCCTTTATCAACTCCTACAGTTGCATACCTGATATGATGGCATCTGTGGGTACTGAACCATTATGCTCTGCATTTGTCCTCCCATTCCTGCTCTCTGTGAATTGAGCAGTCCAGGATTTTGGGGTTGTTGCACACCCATCATGCCCTGGTAACTCGGCTGCTGGCTGGGCATCATGGTCTGAAGACCTGATGACCGAAATAATTTAAAAATAAAAATATTTAAAGTAAAACCACAGTATATTACAGAAGGGAGGAAATGGGATGAAGAGGAGTAGTTGGGTCTTTACCTTTAAATAATTCACAGAACAACAGGACATAATAAGCGTTAATGTCAAAAAAGAGAACCATAATATATTAAAAAAAACAGGAAAACAATTTACAGAACACTGACAATCACGTAACTCACAAAAACTGAAATGTACCATCACTTTAAGCTTACATGCTTAAACATAATATAAATTAATTAATGAATTTTCTATGAGTATAAATCTTCACCATCACAAAACTTATATTTCAGACCAGACTGCAGGCATGTTGTAATGTAGGGTCTTTCTGGCCTTCATGTTCATGAACTATTTGGCTTTGGCAGACGTCCATTATGATCCAAAGTCCTTTTAGGTTGTCAACACTGTCAGTCACTTACTATACAAACAGCCAGACTTCACAAACCATACAATGCTGGCGCCTGACAACTTTTTCCAGGAACACAAAAGGAAAAATAGCCCTATATTTATCTGATTGTATTGGACTTGGATGAACAAGCAGGCACGGCTGTTTCACTCCAACCTTTCACCTGGTAGATTTAAAAGCAAGTGTGACTTTTGCTGTGGAAAACATTTACAGTTCCAAAATCGAGTGGACTTTATCCCCAATATAATTTCCAGTAAGTACAACGACATGGACAAATAATAATTTTGAACTTAAGTATACAACATCTGTTACAAATACACATTAAAACCCTGTCTTCCAGTTGTCAATAGACTGAAAACTAAACTAAAATAAAAACACATTAATATGCAATAAAAAGTAAATGTGCATCAACATTTGACAAAGGCCTCTTTTTAATGCCCATTTGCTGCAAATGGCACTAAATATGTCTTTGCATATCAAAAAAGATTATTTTTTTAATATCATGTTGTCTGATGATGCACAGCACATGAAAATCAACTGACCTGACTGCTGTGCTGGCTGAGGCATGGGTTGTGTGCGTTGGGTTGGGTAAGACACCTGGTGGGACATTGGCTGGGGCACACGGTACTGCTGGCCTGAGCTTGGATACTGACCAGGAGGGTAGTATGAGACTTGTATCTGTGTAGAAATAACAAACCAAAGTTCAGTAATCTGTATTTAATGAACTTTGAAGGGAAGAATAACTGAGTCACACTGGTGTAGACAATTTTTAGTGTAGAAGTCATAAACCACCATATTATTTTGCTTCTGCAAACCATCAAATTCTCAAATCACATTTTACTTAAATTTCACTAAAGCAAATGTGTTAGGACAGGATTATCAGCATGAAAGCTGGAATATTTGTAGTAATAGTCTTGTATTTAAAGCAGTAAAAATTTCCCCTCTGTTAAAAATTACTTATTTAGACCTTTAGCAAATAACATTCATCATTCATTATTGTACTTCAACTGGATGGTTTTCAAGCAACTCCATCCATCTTCTTCCACTTATCCTTATCAGGGTTTGCAGGCGGCTATCCCAGCTACAAAAAGACAGACTCTCAAGACTCACATCACAGCTGTGAGCAATTTAGAATCACCAATTAACCAAACAGCACTAACTGCATGTCTTTGGATGTAGAAGGAAGCCAGCGTACCTGGAGAGAACCTGAGCAAACACGTGCTGCATCTTAAGATTTTGCAAAATTTTTGTAGCCAGGAAATATGTCGAGGACATTTACAACATAGCAGAAAAGTGAGAGTAAATCAAAACGATGAGCTAAAACAAAAGACAATCAACTCCACTCAAAGGTGTGATTATACTTCTGCGTCCACAGGTTTGCTGGGGTGCAGGTTAATTCTATTTCACCATACAACATTGTGATTCAGGCTGTTGACGACTGTATGGCCACCAATGTTTTATGATCGTGCTGACTCGCCAACAGAAACACTAGAGTACACTACACTACCATGCACCAACAACCAGCAATAAATGTCTCTAAAGGTCAAGATTAGAACTATAAAATGAAAGCACACAGAATGAAAGCTATTTTTAAGTGTCAATCAGGATGAATCTGTATAAAGAAAACTGCCAAAACTGAATTAGTTCATTACAAATAGTACGTATATAACTTTTGATAAAATCCGATGAGTGAAAAGCCTGATGAAAAGCCGTAAAAACAGAACATTTTGCAAATCTTCCATGATATTTGTGACAGCTTTGGTAACTGACATATCACGAAGTTAATTACTTTGCCTTCGGTGTAGAGTGCTGTTCTAGGTAATGATTTAAATTAGATAACAGATCTATAAAACCTTTTGCAAGTATGAAATATTAATTTATGTTTGCAATTACATTTTAACTACCCGATATGAAAGTCATACACAGGTCTGTTTTATTTATTACATTGTGTTACATTTAATTAATCATGTAATCCTTGGGCATGGTTGCCTCCAGATATCAGCTACATCAATATTCAATCAAAGCTGACAAACTGTGGAAACTGAATTTAAATCTAAAAGGTATGTCTGCTGTTTTTATCTAACCACCCGTGGAGGAATGCGTACCTGCTGAGGTGGAGGGGGCTGCATGTAGCCTTGTGGAGGTGGTGCGGCCTGCATGACAGGCTGGGATGGAGGAGGCGGTGGAGGTGGAGGATGGGGGTGTCCAGTGGTGGGCTGGTAACCAGACGGAGGTGGCAAAGGTTGACCCGTAGTAGCCATAATGTAGCCGGTCTGCGGTGGGGGGTGCTGCGGCAGCACTGGAGGAGTAGCCTGATACATAGGGGGAGGCTCGGGGTTCTCACTGGAGCCCTGCCGACTCAGCGTCATCTGTGTGAACTGGGGTGCCAGCTCTTCTCCCTGGGTAGAATGGGAATAATGCCATTAGTTATGACTTATAGGTGACACTCCTATATCAGTACTGTTTTTTGATTTTGAAGATGCGTTTTAGGATATACTAAGTAATTAACAATGATCTCCAACAGCCTAAATGCTTCATTAGCAATGGTCTAAAACGACTCCTATTCTGATTATTAAAGGGTCATTGTGTCATTTTGGAAAACACTTT